CACAAACGTTTTTACAATATAATCCATACTTTTAAGTTTATGTTAAGGCATATTAAACATCCTATCAATTCTCAAGTCAACATATACAAAGATTCTAAGGAACATGAATCTCACTGTGTCATTGACGAAGAAAACGAGGTTGATGTTAACCTCACTATTGCCGACTTTGGTGTCAAGAAAAACACCACTCAGTCAATTGATGCACCAGACTTTGACTAAGTCATTTTAATTTCATTGTTTTTATGGACATTTAAGCACTTCCGAACTCATGTTTTCACATTTCTTTTCTGTTGGACATTGAATGCTTGCCGTTTTATTTAAATAATTGGATTGGTTTTGAAATTCAAATGATATTTAAAAATAACATTTCCTGTTCAAATTTATATTATACTTCTTCATTATACATGAATGACTCGAGAAGAACTTGAGTGTTTAGTAGATGGTGGGACAACTCACACTATCTTAAGAAATAGACAACTCTTTACTGAACTCCTAGCCTATAATTCATCTGCGACAACGATGATTGGTTCATCACATGTAATACAGGGTCGAGGTACTGCCAGTTTTATGTTACCAAATGGTACAAGCTTGTATATCACAGATGCTCTATATGCATCTAGAGCAACACGAACCTTGTTAAGTTTCAAAGATATTCGTGATAATGGTTTTCATGCGGAAACTCATTGTGAGAATGAAGTAGAGTACTTATACATTACCTCCAACGAATGCGGAAGAAAACGCATACTAGGAAAATTAATGAGTCAATCTAGTGGACTTTATGTCACTAGTATTCGGTTCTTTGAATCCTATAATGTCTCTAATAATGAAATATGGGACATAGACTCATATAGGCTTTGGCAGGATCGCCTTGGACATCCGGGTCATGACATGATGGTTCGTATATTAAAGAATTCACATGGTCATCCTTTCTTTCAACCAAAGAATGTGAAGGAGTAAAAATCTAACACACTGAAATGTGTTGAACCAACGGTCACTCAAAAGAAAAAAGGGTCTTCTAAAGTACCAGAAGAATTGTCTCACGCCTCATTCACAATGTCCAAATTACACAAGTCATTCTGCAAAGCCTGCTCCTTAGCAAAAATAGGATCGAGACCATCCTATGCTAAAGACACAAAACAAAACATCCCATTCTTACAAAGAATTTAAGGAGACATATGTGGTCTGATCCATCCAGAATGTGGACCATTTAGATACTTTATGGTTCTGGTGGACGCATCGACCCGTTGGCCGCATGTTACCTTATTGTCCACAGAAAATGCTGCATTTGCAAAACTCCTAGGCTCCTAGCACAAATAATTCGCTTAAGGGCTCACCACCCCGACCATCCTATAAAGTCCATCAGACTTGATAACGTTGGAGAGTTTACATCAAAGACATTTGATGACTATTGCATGTATATCGGGATCGACATAGAGCATCCCGTTCCCCATGAACACACACAAAATGGTCTCGTAGAAGCTACTATCAAAAGATTACAAACGATAGCTAGGGCATTGGTTATGCGCACCAACTTGCCTATATCTGCATGGGGCTATGCAACATTACATGTAACCCTACTTATTCGCTTTAGGCCCACTATGAACCAACCATTTTCTGCATACCAGTTGGTAACTGGATATGAGCCTGACATTTCACACTTACGCATATTTGGTTCTGCAGTCTATGTGCCAATTGCACCACCACAGCGCACCAAAATGGGTCATTAAAGGCGATTAGGTATATTGCGTTGGATACAAATGCCCAACGATAATCCGCTATCTAGAACCTTTGACAAGCGATCTTTTCACCACAAGATTTGCGGATAGTCACTTTGATGAGACAACATTCCCGTCGTTAGGGGGAGATAAGAAAAAGGGTTTTTCCGAAGAACGACGTGAATTATCCTGGTGTGTTCCTACACTGTCTCATTTTGATCAACGCATCTCACACTGTGAAGGTGAAGTGAAAAGAATAATAGACCTACAAAATATAGCAGACTCAATGCCTGATGCATTTTCTGATATTGCAAAAGTGACAAGATCACACATACCAGCTGTAAATGTGCCTGCAAGGTTAGAAGTCCCCAAGAGAGAGCACAGTGTCATAGTAGGAGGCACTGCAACCACACTTAGTGGAGGTGTGGTTGAGGCCGTGGCTCCTCAAAGGAAAAGAGGAAGGCCACTTGGTTCGATTGATACTCGTCCAAGGAAGAAGAGGACAAGTACGACACAACCTAATCCATTAATCATCGATGAACAACATCCATCCCATGAGATTATCTCTGATTATAGTTATGTCCATGAATCATTATTGGAGGACGCTCCGATGATCAAGATGATTCAAGAAAACAAAGAAATCTCTATGGATTATGAAAATGCACACGTGTTGATGGAAAGATCTTCCGTACACATCGATGATATATTTGCATTTACAGTTGCTCAAGAAATCATAGAGCACAATGATATCGAACCACGCTCCGTGGCAGAATGCCAACAAAGAGCTGATTGGCCTAAATGGAAAGAAGCAATCCAGGTTGAATTAGATTCCCTGATAAAAGGCAGGTATTTGGTCCGGTAGTGCTAACCCCACCAACTGTAAAGCCAGTAGGACATAAATGGGTATTTGTCAGAGAGCGAAATGAGAAGAATGAAGTCTTAAGGTACAAGGCTCGCATAGTGGCACAAGGTTTCTCACAACGCCCTGGGATTGACTACGAGGAGACCTACTCTCTCGTAATGGACGTTATCACGTTCAAATACCTAGTCAGCTTAGCAGTTTCTGAAGGATTGGAAATGCAATTGATGGATGTGGTTACGACATATCTCTATGCAATTGATGGATGTGGTTACGGATTCAAATACCTGACGGACTTTCACTACCTAAATCAAGTGACTCTAAACCACGGAGTGCGTTTGCAATAAAATTGAAACGCTCACTTTACGGGTTAAAACAATCTGGGCGGATGTGGTATACCCGCCTAAGTGACTACTTGATTAGGAAGGGATACAAGAACGATGAGTTTTGCCCCTGCATATTCATAAAGAAAACGAGTTTCGGATTTGCAATCATAGCAGTATATGTCGACGTCATGAACATAATCGGCACTCTTGACGAAATAAGAGAAACCGCAAGCTATTTGAAATCTGAGTTTGAGATGAAAGACCTTGGGAAAACTCGATTTTGTCTAGGTCTTGAATTAGAACATCGAGTTTGTGGAGTATTAATCCACCAGTCTGCGTATATCCAAAAGATGCTCAGGCGATTTAACATGGATAAAGCGCACCCTTCTAGCACTCCCATGGTGGACCGAAGCCTAGATCCTAAAAGGGATCCATTTCGTCCAAAGGAAGATGACGAAGAGGCATTAGGAGCTGAAATTCCATACCTAAGTGCAATAGGCGCATTACTGTACTTAGCACAATGCACTCGACCCGATATATCATTCTCAGTGAACTTGTTAGCTAGATTTAGCTCTGCGCCTACGCAGCGTCACTAGAATGGTATCAAGAATATCTTTAGATATCTTAAAGGAATCAGTGACTTGGGACTGTTCTTTCCCTATGGAGAGACGAAGAAAACCACAAATGGAGTTGTGGTCACAAAGGAAAATACCAAAGACAAAACGGTCACCCCCATGAACACCCCAAATGATGTCTTGGTAGGTTTCGCTGATGCTGGTTACCTCTCCGACCCTCACAAAGGCCGTTCCCAAATTGGCTATGTTTTCACAATCGGGAACACGGCAATATCCTGGAGATCAACTAAGCAAACCCTTGTGGCTACCCTCCTCGAATCACTCAGAGATCATTGCTCTACATGAGACGGTTCGTGAATGTATATGGTTAAGGGCTATCATTACACATATTCGAGGAACTAGTGGTTTAAAATATACTACTGACAAGCCTACTTGCATTTATGAGGATAATGCAGCTTGTATCGAACACATGAAATTGAGATATATCAAGGGTGATAACACAAAACACATATCTCCCAAGTTCTTGTACAATCAACAACAACAGGCCTTGCTCAAGATTCAAGTGAATCAAATAAGCTCAGAAGAAAATGTAGCAGACTTGTTTACCAAATCACTACCCAAGGTCACTTTTGAAAAACACTTAAAGAGCATAGGAATGCGAAAGCTTTCCGAACTACCCCAATTATTGTAAATATCAGGGGGGAGGTATAGACATGAGGGGGAGTCTTCCACCTACCCACCATTGCGTTATACTCTTTTCTTTTTCTCACTGAATTTTGTTACTTGGTAAGGTTTTTAATGAGGCAACGATGCTCATTGATCTAAGTAAACGATCAAATAGCAAAAGACTCGATGAACGAAGTCCAAACACATTTTCCATATTGTTATAATCTTTCTATACTGTCAAGGTTATTTTTCCCACAGGGTTTTTTGTTACTTGACTAAGTTCTTACCAAACAAATTGGCGAACATCATTCTATCTACAACTCAGCACAAAGGGAAGTGTTAAAGGAAACTACATTTAGTGTGCTCTCATTATAGATAGAATATACATTAGAGTATTATTTGTACTGTGTTAATACACCCATGTGCCTTTGCCTTGTAATACCCCGACTTATCCCTATTTAAAGGGAGTATGAGTGGAATGAATAGAACACACTTCCCATTATCCTTCTGCAGTGTGTGTACTTTTTCCCTTTCTCTTGGTCCAAAAGGTGGAATCTCCCACCCCAGGAGCCCCCCATACCCCGACCCGACAGGATTTTTGGGAGGATGTTAATCACGGTGACTCAGTCGGCCCAATGATGGTAGGCCTTTTTCCCGTGCGCACCAGAGACCCAGCCTTACTTCAGGTTCTGTGACCTCCACACGACCGCTGCGGATTTCGAACCTTGGTCACTTTATCCAAATTTCCCACCACTGAAACAACTGAGCTACCCGTGCGGGTAACTTTTTCCCTTTCTCTAAAAAAAGACAAGAATTTGCCCAAAAAAAAGAAGAAAAAATGAAAAAGAAAAGAGGCCGAGTTAGGGCTCCAACCATTTAGTCCGGACCTATCTTCTCTGCACATATACGTACAGACAGCGTTAGGTGTGTGTATGCACGAAGTACACTTCATAGAATCAATTGCGCTCCGGACTTTTATATACATTCCCGCCGCTAGCTCCTACCCGTCGCCATTTTGGCCCAACTCAGGTTTTTCTCTGAATAATCTCCTCACCCGTTATTGCTTTCAAATTTTAAATCGTTCATTATGCTGAAATCTAGTAGTTTCGGTTCCCGGAATTGATGGACTAGAAAAATGGTGAGAACTGTGAAGAGTCACCACGAAGGGGATGAAGATGACGACTTGGATTTTTCTTCCAAAGCTCTTGATGATTCCTCCGAGAAGGGTGCGTCTCCTTGTATCGTGTATGTAAACAGCATTATGAGCCTTTTCCTATTTATGTTTTTACACTGGTAACGTTTGCAGTTACAACGGAGGGGAGGAGCAGTGATCAGAAGACGAATACACTTCGGTCCAAGCACTCTGAGACAGAGCAGCGACGGAGGAGCAAAATCAACGAGAGGCAATATCATTTTTTTTTTAAAATATTTTAACTGGAAATGGACCAAATGGTTTGGCTGTGAATTTATATGAGGGGAATGAGCATGCCTATAATTCAGGATTCTTCTTTTGAAAGGGGCTAGATATGATCATGTTGCTCTTGGCTGCATGTTCTGACCATTGGTCTCTTTTCAGTTTGAGAAAGTTGTTGCATAATCTGCTCAATTTTTAATATGCATGCAGAAAGGAGATTGACGATGTTTTTTATGACATATTGCTAATTTCCCATTCACTTTCAAGTTACGGAGTATTAATGATTGCATCCCCACAAGAGTAAAAATTTAATTGAACATATAAGATTGACTTGATCATTTCATCATTTTCATTTACCCCAGTGCCGCAAAGGCTCCCACCTACGGTGGGGTAAGGGGGGGTCGGATGTACGCAGTCTTACCCCTATACTAAAGCACAGAGAGACTGTTTCCGGATGACCCATAGTGAAAATCGCGTCCAAAATTGCATGGACTGAATGCTGCTTCATTACAAAGAAGCACAGACAGTTTAGTGAGCCATTTTGCTTTATTCCATCATAATCTCAAGCCAAAAAATAATGAATCTTTGGCTCCATTGCAAATGATGGAAATATAAGATTGACTTGATAAATACAAGTAAATAAGAGTTGTATTACTATGAACTTTTACATGTCAAATGATCTTTTCTACTCATTGGAACAACCTTTTTTAAAATGCTGCAACCATGAAACTGTTAGAATCATAGTTGCTAAGCACTTCAAAATTTTCAATAGTTAAGGACTTGATATCATTCCACTGACCTTTTTCGTTCTATAATCAAGCTAGAATTTCAATAAGGGGTTCGAAAAGTGACTGAAAAGGGCTCCACACATGCAAGATTAAATTGGGGTGTGGATGGAACTCTTTGTCAATTGTCATTTTGCACCCTTATTTTGAATGTGGGGTTGTGAATAGTCCTTGTATTTCCATTTGATTTGGCATGTACAAAGTTATGTAAGATTATAGCTCACTTATAATATACTTCTCAGATTCCAAACATTGAGGGATCTCATACCTGAGAATGATCAGAAGAGAGACAAAGCTTCGTTCTTGCTGGAGGTGCATTATTATACTCTATGCTTGTTGTATCTTATCTATTTGAGAATAGTAGGAAACAGACTTATTCTCTAGATTTGGTGTTAATTGCAGGTTATTCAGTATATTCAGTTCTTAAAAGAGAAAATACAGATGTATGAAGGAGCAAGCCAAGATTGGAGTCCAGAGCCGTCAAAGTTGATGCCATGGGTAAAATCTGCTACATATCATATTCAATTGATTTTGAATGCACTTACTCGTGGTAGCTGAATGTAAGTTTCTATGATAAAGTTCATGATAGCTGAATAGACAGTATATTGGGCTCCGTAGATAGTTATGTGTTGAGTCGATGTTCAACATGGAAGCAGTGTACACATGATTGTTTTCATAAAATTGGTTAATGGCAAATGCATCCATCAATGCTCTTTGTCATTGATGTTTGGGGCATATTCAGCATCAGCCTGAAAAGACCCTTAAGCGCTGCCTAATTCAAATTTTAGGGGCATAGAGTAGCTGAGGCTAACAGTGATTTTCTGTAAGCACATACTCGTAATATTGATTTATTCTAGAGGTTGTATGGTGAGGGTAAAGTCTGACAGAAAATTTTGCATGAGCTAAATCCGCCTAAAGACGTAATGCGTGCCTGAAATGGCTGACTACGTTGAATTATATAAAATGTATTTAAAAGAGTATTTTCTATAAATTAAAGGGAACAATATCTAAAATAAGATTGGGACAAAGAAGCAACTGTTGTAAACCTATTTTTATTATCATCCAATACAATCAAATAAGTTAGCATTTGAAAGAAAAGTCTAGCGTATAAGCCCAAATATTTTGCTCCTACTGACCAGCACTTGCTTTTATTTATCACTTGTAACTTTCTTTCATTACATATATGCTTATCTATTATGAAAATTGGATTGTCGGGTGAACTGCGCTGTTTATGCAAAATCTATAAGTATGTTTCTTGATACAATTTTGAATGAGTAGACAAAACAATCAGCGTTTGCCTTTGAAAAAACTATGAACGTTGAGTCTTTGTTAGGGTCTGCTGGTTTGAGGCCTTCCTCCTAAACTGCATTTTCAATTTGAAGGGAAAGCTGAGTTGAGTCTTAGGATGTTTTTAATTGGATTGGTTTCAGTCTCAAACCAGACTAGAACACACTTAAACAGACCAGACCAGATCATACCATACCAGAAAATTTCAGTCCAATTAAAACATCCTTAGTTAGAAGCTAGTTTGATTGAGCACTCTCTGTGGTGGTTGAAGATTTTTCAAGCAATGATGACATCAACATCTCTTCTTTTTGCAAACAGAGAAGAAGCTCTTCTGGCCCTCCCCAAATCTTCACAGAACAGTCCCAGCTGACCAGGAGTGGCTCCGCTCATGAAGAGAATATTGTTGTGGACTCTATATTACTTCCTAATAACACACGTGACTCTGTAGAATCTGGCATGAATGGGGAAGCTGGCTATAAAATAATGGATGAACACCACCGTGAAGTAATAAATGAAGTTATCCCTTACAATATGCCTCTGCAGCCAAGTTTATTCGATGGTATATCGATCCAACCTTCTCATGGATCTTCTACCTACACTGATCAGTTGGCTTCTGAGGCACAGCTGTTTGAATGGTCTGATAAACAGCATAAGATACATTCCGAAGACCTAATCTTTGATCAGAATGACAGGGATGAGCTGAAAAACAAATGCAGGGATGACAGTTCTCCAAACGATTACTCTCAGAGGTGAGGAATATGTTAATTGCTTTGCTGTTGGTAATTAGCATGGCACTGACTGACAATTACTTGCCCAATTGCCCACAGTGACTTCTTTTCTGTAATGAACTACCTCCTTCTCTTAAAACTTTGCCAAGTTTGACCGGCACAGAGAATAATAAAGTAAAAACTATGTGGTTGAGGTTTGTGCAGAGGAGAGAGAAATAACATGAACCACCAAATAATAATTTATTAAAAAGGAGAGTGGCAAAGTTTCTTGGGACATCCCAAAAAGGAAAGATGGCAAGGTTTTAAGGGACAAAGGGAGTATTTTAGACTTCTAGTTTAAGAGCCGGTTTGTTACTGTTTAAATTGGTTGAAGTGGCTGATTCAGTTAAGTTATTGAGGTTATAGCCAAAATGGCTGAATTGGCTAAATTGTCTTAATCATCTAAAAAATATTTAAAATTATATGTTTAAATGAAGCAATTTTTTTAAAAAATAGAAGTATCAACTTCATCCATTTTAGGAAAAAAATAATCCCTGTAGTTTTTTCTCATTATAAGATGATTAAGCCAGCGCAGGGAAATAAGTATAAGTTGGTTTTTGGTGAAAAAATGGCTTGATAAGCTGAAAATGAAGTCCACCAAAGGGGCTCTTAGTTAGTAGTTTTCAACTGTTTCACATAACTTTTTTTATTTGAACAGGTTATTGAATACCCTAAACCAGACACTAGCATCTATGGGAGTTGATATTTCACGGGCAAATATTTCAGTTGAACTTGATGTTGGTAATTATACAAGCAGCAGAACTGCCATTTCTGCATTTAATGGTTGTGAGAATTATGACCATGCTCATAAAAAGCTCAGAAGATAGCAGTTAATTAGGAGTTCTGGTCCTACCATTGAAAAGGCGCACCTTAGTCTCCTGCATCTCAAAATTTTCCCAGGCAGACAATTGAGGTAGTCTGCGTGTGTGTTTTGTACATTCTATTTCCCTTCCTTATGCCGGAGCTTGCAAAGCTTTCTAAAAATAGGATGATATACTTCTTTTATAAATATTGTATGTACAAAGAATTGATTTCTATCTAAACACGAGAAGCTGTGTTTCACTTTTTGTAGGCTGTTTACTCACCCGTCTCATAATTTTGGAGAATTGATTGTTCTTATAGGCTTAAATATGTTTATCGTCCTTGCTAACATAACATTTTTCATTTAGATGTGTAATATGATGGTTCTTCCCTAAAAATTACATTTTTCAAAACTCCTCTATCATTTTAAAGTCAACTTTCATAACTCATCAGCTACTATAAGGGGAGTTTGGGTACAAAAACTCACCATTCAATAAACGTGTCTTCACTCTTCTGGCTTTTTTTAAATAAACCACTGGTTATCAACTTTTCTTTTTTAAAGGGAAAAATCTCGCCAATAAACCTAGCTATTAGCGCTCTAACGTCCTTCCCACATTAATCTCATATATATATAATTCCAAAATAATCCAAATTTAAAGAGCGTTCTTCTCAAAATGGCCTCAGGTGACCTGGAATTTGTTTGACCGCCAAACCATAACTTTTTTTCGTATCCCTGAAAGACCTCCCTCTGTATCACTCTGTTCTATGCCCAAGCCATGGCTTGGATTTGTTATTCCGAAAGAAGAAGACATGGAAAAGCGTGAAGAATGAGCCACAGTTTCCCTCCGATGGTTCAAATTTGAGAGTGAGAAGCCTGATGAAACTCAAAAGAAGAAAGAGGAAGAATAAGATGGATCAGAGGAGACTCAAGATGTTTTGTTTTTGCATATAGACTCAAGATGTTTTTAGTTGGACATGTTTCAGACTTTCAGTCCCATACCAACAGACTGGACTACAACAGTTGTAAAATACACATAGAACAGACATCTACTAGACTAGACTTAAACAAACAAACCAGATCATCAGACCAGACCAGATAATTTCAGTCCGATTAAAGCATCCCTGATTTTTTTTTTTGTAATGGTGGTAATGAATTGAATGGAGTTGCTTTGCTGGCCATTCTTCTTCATTCTTCTTTCTTCCCAAATGGGTCTTCTTGACCCGTCTGACTTCGTGTTTCTGCAATTGAAGAATCTCTCCAAATTGACAGTGTCCAACTTTACTAATAATTGGGATTTCACTAATGGAGCACCTCGTCAATTACCTGGAATTTTTCGCAGCAGCAATGGGAGGAAGAGATAGACGCTATCGGGGAAACAAAAGAAGAAAAAAGATGCAGCTGTGCAGCACAGACGCGATAGGGAGGAGAAAAGAAAAGATAAAGGAAAAAATAGCAGGACCAATCAAACAAGCCATGTGATCAAGTGACCTGTTCAAGTGATTTATTCAGGTCACCCTGTCATTTTTAGAAGATGCTTTATATACTCTGCGTATTGGAAATAGACACATCTGGGATTGTCCACAGTTGGGATTATTCCTGTGAATTTTTCATTTATAAATGACGTAGAAAAGCTAGAATTGTGTTTTAAGATACACCTTAGTTTTTGTGGGCGGAGTATGACAGATATGAAGTTAGATACTAAAAAAGCAATAAATGCATACACTGCAGAGATGAGAATACAAAACAAAAATTACAAGGACAAACAAAAAAGGCATAATATAGCCTGACTAAAAAACTTATTTAAGCCTTCTTTATAAGCAAAAAAAAAAACAATTAATGTATTCAATTGTGTGAACGATCAGTAGTTGCCGCTATAAGCTACTATGTATTTCTATAATGCATTAGATTGCCTATACAGCACACAAGATTTGTACAATGGGGACCTTATCTATTAGAAAAATTATATGAATCATGAAGCACTTCCTTGATTCTTCAAGCACTCTTGTGGATTGGCATAAAAGTTGTCCTCTTTCTTTGGTTTCCCTGGAATCATAGACCGTGGTTTGGGTTTCCCTGTTCTATTTCTGTGAGTTTTCTTCATGACCAATGAGTATTGGCCCCATGTTATATTATCAGCCTTGTATCGGTCTGTTAAGCGAACTATAACTTTCCTGTCTAGTAGAATAGTCTTCCTGAAACCTAAGTACCTGCAGGGTGAAGTAAGGTTTGAACAGGCAAGGAAAAAAGAACACCTCTCTGACTTTGACCTTTTTTGATAGCATAAATCATATTGTTCTGTTTATTAGCTTAATAAACAATACTTCGTACTCCCTCAGTCCCTCCGTATCAAAATAACTGTCCCAGTTTCCTTTTCGGGTCGTATCAAATTAATTGTCTCATTTCTTTTTTTGGAAAGAAATCTATCCTAAAAGCAGCTACATTATACTTTAATAAAGCATACAGTACTGCTATAGTACCAAAAACCTTTTAATTTTTGCAAATCATACAGTAATTCTATAACTAAACTACTTGAAAAATAAAATGTGATAGTTATTTTCATACGGAGGGAGTATAAAACAAGCTTTTGAATTGGCTGGAATAGATTTTTCCAAATGTTTTTATTTATAGAAAATTCAACACATCATCATCAACCTTTACCAAACACGCCATGTAACCTCTCGAGTAGCATATAATTGTGGAACAAAGAAAAAAGTGGTTACCTGCGGTGGCCTTCAACAACTCTGGCCATGTTTCCAGCATAGGTTGGAACGAAGATATCACTCTCTAGTGAGACAAGGTAATCTAAAGCTGCCAACTGTGATTGATGTCCTTTGAATAGCCTCAGTCCTAAAGGTTCAAGCAGGGTCTCCTTCCTGACCTGTATTCTTAGTTAATACTAAAAACAACATTATTTCAAAGGCTTAAATATGTCTATGTTTTCCCTACTTGTAAGTATAAGTATATAATGCTTTTCTTTTAGCTGACTTCACTTATTTTTTGGTTATTCATTCTTGAAATTTTACTGTTTCCTTTTTTAGTTCCTTCCTTCATTTCATAAAAAATGATGCGGAAGAGTTAGACTCAAGTGGAAGTAGCATAAGTTTTTGTAAACATAAGTTAACGTGGAAGAATTTTCTAAACAGATTTTTTTTCCTAAAAAGAAATCACTATTGCTCAAAACAAGAAATGATTTATTTGCAGAAATGTAAAACATACTCAAGACTTTTTCGAACGTAATTATTTTTAGGACATATATAGAGTATTACTTACCATATGTGGAAATGCTGCATACAAATTTTGCAGTCTTCTTGGTCCACCATATATTTCTCCAGAGGCTAGGTATATTTGAAAACTGGGATCGATTCCCAAGGCTTGAAGAGTCAGAGCAGTTTCTTCAGGTGTCAATGGGCACAGCCCTTTTCTCCTCTTTAATTCAGAATTTATGATTTTCTCCTTCCATCGTTTAGTAGAATACCTAAACATGAGACATGGTTGGTGTTGGGTTTCACTAGGTTAGAGTGTTAGACCCAACATAAAAAGTTACTTTAGGACTTGTTCACTTGGACTTATTTCAGTAACAATCCAGATCAGATCATACTAGACTGGATTACACAAATTCATACTGCACATAAATAGATTAGAGCAGATCTGTTTAATTTAGACTTGAAGATTAATATAATACTAGTTTAGACCAGAATAGACTCAAGCAAATAAGTCCAGACCAAATAAAACATAAACAGTCCAGACCAATTCTAACAAGACTGTACCAGATATAAAGTCTCACAGCTGTTCATTTGGGTAGAAATTACTAGTTTAATCAAGTTTGATTTGTTTAAATCTGGTATGACTAGTTTGATATATGTAATTAGTTTGTATGTCCCGTTATGTAAATTTTAAGTTTGATTGGTGATTGAAAGAACCAAAATAAATAGGTCCTCCGTCCAAATGAACAAGTCCTTATTGCCAGTTTGGATGTGGAGGTTTTGTTAGGGGATTTTTTGTGATGTCTTAGTTTATATCTTGACAAACAACATGTTTCAAAAAATTATTAAAGGGTAATTAGATTATTTTTTGACCTCTAATAATTTACTCTTACTTTGAAATATCTACACAGATATACACTTAGCCCTCTTCCCTAAAACCCAATACCTAAATGTAATGGGTACCCAAGCTACCTCATTCTAGTAAGCTCATCTGCCTCTTCATCGCTGCAGCCATGGGTGCACCCAGAGAAGGCTAACATATCCATTTCATACCTAAGGTGGAGTGCCATATAAGGACCATTTTGCCTCAAAATCTTGATAACTTTCTGAGCAGATTCTTCTATGTGAGAAGAGAACCTCAAAGCACTGAAGTTCACTTTGCATCGCAACTTCTGAATCCCCAAAGGTAATCCATTGTTGGCCAACCTTGAATCAGTTCTATTGAAGCGTACAACTTCATACCTTTTTATCTGCGGAAGAATCTGCTCCACATTTCATACATTAGCCGTTAAGTACATCAGTTAAATACTTTTCCCCAGAGTTAACTTATCATTTATTTATAGAAACAAGTCCTACCCCAAAATCGTTTGGGAATAAGGCTTGGATGTTGTTGTATACAAATAAGTCCTATTTAAACCAAAAGTAATCAACAATGTTAACTTTAGGATGTTTTCACTTGGACTGAAAATTGTCTGGTTTGGCCAGGTATGTCTAACTCAGGTGTGGCTTGAACTGGTCCATCATTACATGCATATTACCATTATTCAAGTCTAATTAAATTCAGTCTGTTTAAGTATCGTCTAGTGTGATTGAATTAAGACCAGTCAAGTTTTGTCTAATCTGGTACACGATTGATCGAAACGGTCCAAGTGAAAACATCTTTTGGTTCAACATACAAATAGCTTTGGAATTATAAGTAAAGATTGATAGTTTACCAGGAGGTAGTACGTACTTGATCATGGTAGTATGAAAGGTTTGACCAGCTCACAGGTGACAACTCGTAAAACATTCCAAGTTGTACCCTTCGCTTAAGTCTAGGAGGTAGCTCTCTGAGGATATGAACCTCATCCCTCAACGAGTCAATGAAATGATTAGCATCAAATATGTCCTCAAAATTACTGCATGCCAAACACAAACAGCTATGTTCTCTCACTATATATATATATATATAGGGTTGGGTTCTAATAAGAAGACTTCTTAACGTGAGATGTGAGAAGCTTCACATTTTCCTCTTTCTGATGCACTTTTGCGCTAACCTGATGCACTTTTTGCGATAGCAGAAAAGTTTTGATTAATTACGGAAATGCCACCGCGTCTTGCATCACTTTTTTAATTAATCGGAATTTTTCTGCGATCGCAAAAGTACATTAGATTAGCGCAAAAGTGCATCAGAAAGAGCCAAATGTGACACTTCTCACTTCTCACGTTAAGATGTCTTCTCATTTGATCCTTATTCTATATATATATATATATATATATATATACACATACACACACACACACACATATATATATATATATATACACACATATATATATATATACACATACACACACACACATATATATATATACACATACATATATATATATATATACACACACACATATATATATATACACACACATATATATACACACACACACACACACACACACACACACACACACATATATATATATATATATACACACACACACACACACACACACACATACACACACACACACACACACACACATACACACACACACACACACACACACACACATACATACATATATATATAAACTCTGAAAAGGTGATTTTAAATTTGGCCACAAACCCACAATTCAAATATAAATAATGCATGAACTTTTCATATAAAACATTGGGCTACTCAACACTAAAGTCACAAATTAGTGATACTAGGAAGTACTATATACGCGCCTTGGATCAGACCAGAAAGAAGTTTTGTCGAGCTCTGGCACAATAAGAGTGACATTTAAGTATTGTGCAATGGCAACCATGTCGCATATCTGCATAGTTGTTGAGAATTATTGCAAATTCAGTTCCATCAACATGGCAACATTTCAAATATATAAATCAATGCCTTTATCAGTTCCATATATATTACTTGTCCCACTTTATAT